GCTCATTTTTATACACATACTTTGTTAAAAATGTAATTCATATTGATTGGTTTGTAAAGCAATATTCAGTTTGGGTCCACACATAAAATAACTGCTAAAATATAAATTTTAATGCAACATCTCTGTGCTTGCTAGAAATTAATTTATTTGGTAATGTAATGTATTTTTTTTTTCACCAGAGAAATAAATAATATTATAGTTTACTTAAAATGAAAATCTCTATAGGAACAGAGTCTGGTGCTCCCTTGTCAGAATCCCAACACCTCCGACACCTGGTTTCACAGATGTCACTAAATACACAGTAAGTATTGCTCCTGCACCAGACAATTTTGTTCCAAAGCTTTAAAATTGGCTTTAATTCTGCATATACTTCAACAGGGAGGAGCCACTTGCAATTACAGAACTTTAACTAAAGCTGTGGAAGTTATCTGTATATTTTCATTGGCACAGCCTGAAAAATGGGAATTATCTTTTCTGTGCAAAACAAGTAGAGGTTACAGTCACTGTGCTGACAGCATCTATCCAGATCTCAGTGTTGCCACAAACTGTTTTGTTGCTTTGGTAATGCAGAATAAAGTCTTACAAGTCTTATGTTATAAATCAGGCTGTGCTATAGCTGAATAAGATATTTAATTAATGTGCTAGTAAAGAATTTTTATTTTATTCACAAAAGGCTCCATCCTGAGAAATGGTGAGTGCCACCTACATGGTTCCTTTTGATGTCTGTAACAAGGTGGGATCAGAACCTGCAGAGATCCATTCAAAATGGTAGATTTAACATCGTTTTTCTCATTCTGGTAACTTTGTTCTTGTTTGATATTTGATGGTTGGGTAATTAAGGACAGATTCAGGAACACAGGAGAAAGCAGAGTTCTCTCCTACTTTATTAACATAACAGAAGCATCAAATTAAACCTAAGTGTTGATGGCATCCCACTGAAAGCTTTAAGAAATCAATAATGATCTTTGCTTTATTAGCACTTAGTCATTTCCCTTTCTTTAAGAATATACATCGTACACCTATTCTGGGACTCTATATTGGCATTATTTGGTATAAGCCTGATACAGCTGTCATTAGATACTGAATTTCAGAAAAATAACAATATCTCTGCATTATGAATTGTTTCTTTTAAATCCTGAATGATAACCATGCTATTCACATACATATTAAGAGGAGTTATGTTTTGGTTCAAACAAACCTTGACTTAAGCCATCCAGGCGGGACACTTGCTTAGTATCTAGGTTTTCCACGGGATCTCCTCTAGAAACTTCTCCAAAAGATGTCTGCCTTTCAAAAATGTTGTTGTTATTGTTAACCTGGCTCCCATTTTGCTTCATTAGCCTGAAAACTTCTGCTTCCAAGTCTCGTATCTGAACGAAATACAACACAGTGTTACCTATAACACACACACATCTATAAGACATGTTTTTTTTCCAGAATATCAGACAGAATTGTCTCATTCTTCAAATATGAGAGTAAATAGTACTCACACGAGCTTGTAAGCCTTGAACCTCTGCAAGGTGTGCTTTCTCCAAATCTTCTATTTTCTTTCGTTCAGCTTCCTGGCGTTTGATGAAGTCAAGTTCTCTTAGGGAAAAACAGATGTATTTGCTGTCATCAAAGCAATCAGATTCAAACAGAAAGTGAAATGTTCTGATATATCTTAAGCTATGCATCAGAAAAATCTGTCCTTAACAAGTATTTTATTACTAACCTAGTAAGAAGTATGAAACTGCAATTAGGACAAAACCCTAACCAATTACTTAGTCTAAATGAATATGCTAAGGGAAGATATAAAAATGGTAAAAGGAATTTATCTGGAAAAAAAAATCCCAGTTGTTCTAATTGATACTCAAAACAGTTAAACTAATTTTTTCATACTCTGTATTTACAATGAAAACAACGTTAGCTTAGGTTATGCTGTCTTCTGTTGTAGGAAATGGAGCAAAATCTCTGTTTTATTGGAGTATGACTGCACTCCTTCACAGAAAGGACATGCGTTAAGTTTCCAGGTACAAATCTAATTTTCTAGTAAGCTATAAGGTGATTTTAGGAGCCTGACATAGTTAAAACAACTATATTTTACTAATATTAAGCAGAATACCAACAGAAAGGCTATCCAAGGTCATTCTAGCAACCTTCCCTATTTCTTTTTATTTTGAAAATCTAAGAATTTTGTGACAGAAAGCACACAAGATGCCAGCTAGTTCTGGAATGGTCATGAAATTCCAAGATGGGTAATGATAATTTGACTATCTAAAACCCTTTTTAATGGGACAGGATATTCACTTCTGCACTCCCTGTTGTCACTTGACATTGCTGTATGTTTTTGAGTTTTCTTCTTTAAATGAGGGTATTTCAGCAGAAAATGAAAAAGTTGCTGCAAAAAAAAAGGAAATTTGGGGGAATGGAAGCTGTTATAGAAATGTAAGATGTTATTATTCTTGCTAGCCATCAGGGAGAGGGGACCACATGAAACAGAGGGGGCCAGGTAATCATCAGTTAGCTCAACTCAGCTCAAACATTCTTGGCATCTACGAGAAGAAGAAAAATAAAACGTAAAATGTAACAAAACAATTTTCTTTTTGATGTTACGTTAGTACACGGCAGGAGTGAATCCAGCTGACACAATACCAATATGAATTGCTGCAAACCTTGCTAATCAAATGGTTTACTATAATTACTCTTTGTTGTTTGTGATCACATTGAGTTATCCAGTAATTCTGAAACATTCCAACCTGGAATACTACAGACTAAGTCTTTATTTACTTATAGTATTATTTTTTAACAATACTAAACTAATACTTGAATACAACTAACATTTTTCCATAATAAAGAGCATGTGTTTGTCATGGGAAAAAAAAGTGAAAAACAGTGTTTACCTTACAGGTGTTTAATAGTGAGTTTCCTATTTCAAAATACATCACATATATGTTTCCTATCTGGCCACTAAGTCATTTGCTGAGCCTGGCATAGCTGCTTACTTTTGCTGAAAATCCTTGATTAATTTCTTTGCCTTGTTATATTTCTTCTCCAGAGCCTGATACTGGCTTTGCGTCTCCTTGAGGTGCTCATTCACCGTGTGACACAGGGTTTGTGCCTCAATCCAGTAACTCTCTAATTTCATCATCCTTTCCTTATTCTCCTCAATGTTCTGCTGGAGTTGGGTCTTCTCCAATTCCCACCTCACCTTCTCATTCTCAGCAGCCTGCAGCTGAACCAAAGAGTGGAGATGCTGGTCAGTAAAAAGGTGCAAAGTGCTGACTAATCATTTAGGATGAATTCAAACACCACAGATAGTGAAAATCAGTGAATGAATAGCTATAAAAGTAATATACTAGCAGTGAAAATAGCATTCAAAGACAAAGAACATAGGCTGATACGTACATTATTCTTCCTCATAAAATGAAGCTGAACCTTTCCTCTGTGCAGCCAGTGCAGCCTCTGTGCTTCTCTGGGATATACCAACATGCTTTGAAAATGTCAATGGTGGAGTATTCAGGCAAACTGCAGGGTTAATCAGTCAGCACTGGGGATGCGTTTTGCTCTATGCATCTGGCTCAGGTGTTAGAAAGCATTCATATGCTTTCATAAAATAAGAAATTTCTTATTTTAGGGGAATCTGATTTCCAGGTTCTATATTTGATTTAAGAACAATTCAGAAAACAATTGGAAAAAACCCTATTGCATCTAATCTAACTATCTGCTTTTTTACCCAAATTAGAAAATCTATTGAATTCTTACAAAGTCTGTGTTCAGGTCATAATCTTGCTTAATCTAGAAAGCCAAACACAAAAGAGGTTGAAGCATAATTCAAAATTTAACATCAGGTCATAACCTAGAATCTTTTTTAATTTAAGCAAGCACAGAGTTTTGCATCCCATACTGAAACTATGTCAGAACTATTACCAGGACAAAGAGAACCTTTTATAAATATATTACCCTTGTTTTCTTTAAACTTGGTTACTGAGTTGTAAGGAGATAATATGAAAAGAAAAATATGCCCTTGCTGTTGAAGATTTCAGGTGCTACTTCTGCCAAATACATCAGCAGCTTAACTCTACAGCCAGCGCAGTTCCACTGCGAGTTCCACTCTTAGCACCAATGAAGTCCAATGACTTTTTCCAAGTGACCTTAGAGAAGTCCAAATTTTACTGCTGAGTTTATAATAAACCTTAGCTCCTTCGCTAGTGTGTTAGATTTTTTTGAGTTAGGCTTCTCTACTTCCCAGCTGAAGCTAGCTGCAGGTTTGAACATTTGGTGCTGGATAAGGGTAGGGTTGTTCAGCAGCTTGCATGTTTTAGCTCCCAGAATTTATGGAAAACAAAAAATGCCTTGACATCCTTGTTTACTTACCAAGACTGTTTAATTTGCTCTAGGCAGTTCTGCTAGCATCAAGGATGATGCACACAAAAAGAAAATAACTTGTTTGCAGTTCTATTAGTAATATACCTAAACTAGCCACATCTTCTTCGGCTCTGTTCAAAACATGAGGTAAATAAGTCCAACACAAAAAGGCACATTAACCCTAATCTTGCAAATGGATTTGCACAGATGAGTGTTTACACCCACGCATCACTGCCTCAAAGTCAATGGGGCTCGGCACCGTCCCAAGGGATTGACCATGCGGCTCCAACTGCTACATTGGAACTGGAAAGCAGAGGAAGAAAAGACTCCTGACTTTCTGAACTGAAACAGTACAACAGAAATTGTCCTTACAGAAAATAGCTGCACTCTGAATTTATTTTTAACAATAATTTATGCAGATTTGATAAACACTATGCAAAATACACGGTGAGTGCAAATAGTTGCTAGAAAGAAATAACAATCTCAAACCTTTTTCTGAAGTACAATTTTCACTTTGTCATCTTCTTATTTCCTTTATAATGTACTCAGACTCAAAGAGAAGGATGTCATTATAAAACCTAGTATTACTCAACAACTGAATTATCAGTTGACTTCCCATAAAGGTAATCCTAGTACAAAAAATACAATTTCTTTTTATTGCTATAGCAAATTCAATCTCACAAATAGCAACCGATTATGAGATGTTTTCTGTTAAACTGGTAAGCTTTTTCCTTTCTAGAGTATCTTTTAAAAAGAACTGCAACAATATTAAACAACTCTTTTTCTCTGGTACATAAAAAAGTAATTTTTATTAAACACCTTTAAATAAATGAGTTTTTTTACAAAAAATGTCCAAAAAAAGGAACTAACATAAACAGGATACTTTAACATCACTGGTAAATAAAAACCCTGCTTAGACTTGAATATTCAATCCAAATATAATTTTAAAACCTGAGACAATGCATTAGAATTGTAAAACCAGAAATCTGCCATTTAGTCATTATGATACCCCTTAAAATGTACGTTTCATTGACGCTACACAAGTTGGCAGTTTCTCTTAATAGCATCACTTAAGATTTTACTTGAAACTTTGAATAGAGAATATACACCAAGACAAGATTTAGCTGAGCCACTGTGCTTATTAATCAGCCTTTAATAAGGATGTTGACTTCTCCACCCACATAAAGATACATCTCTTCAGATCTGATTTTGCATGAGAGAGGAAAAAAACAGTGTGTATTAACTGTATATTGATTCTTACCTTCGTCTTCAGCTTCTGAATTTCAGCTTCTGTAACTGCATGTTTGATTTGCAACTAAAATTGAAAATATAAAATAAACAAGTGAAGTCACAGAGAGTACTCCAGTATTTTTTAAGCCTGTGCTGCAAGTTGAATACCTTATTACATAGCAGAAGGCCTTGAAGAGTGCTGCAGTGCAGTAGATTGTAAATTAAAATGTCTAGCTTGCAAAATGACTCAGTCTGTGCAACCTAATTAAAGATAGGATGCCGTCTAACCACTCATAATTTCAAATCAGAACATCCAATCTGTTTAGGAAAACCAAATGTCTTATGCTTAAAAAAAAAAAAATCGATGTTATCCTGCTGGGCTTTGCTCTCCTCTGACGTGAACGTGAAATACGTCCCAGTGTTGTCAGAAAGTCCCACTGCATTGATTAAAGCAGGCACGTTACAAAAAAAGCAAACATGGAAATAAGTGATTTAGCAACTCAAGAAGGCAGGAAAACCTTGAGGGAAGATTCCACGCATTTATTTCATGCAAGGAAAAAGGTGCACTGATGCTATCCTTCTCCACCGTTAGCTGGAGTTATTCTGCTCAAGCTAGCTAATCTCAGTTGAGAGCAGTTACAGGGGAAACTGTAAAAAACAGGAAACGGCATTCAAGCACACGGAATGATCGCAAGCAGATTAACAGCCCAGGCAGTGTGCTCAAGGTTGCAGCTGCATTACCAAGCAGCATGCCACAGCAACAGTGGATCTGTAGAAAGGGTCGGTGCTGAGGACCTGGCATCCACCCGCACACTTTCCAGGGGGATTTCTTTTGGACTAACCTACATTAGTCTGACCCTGTGGAGTGAATACTCATTAGCTCTTTGAGCGTATTAGGCAATGTCCTGAAACATCTTTAGTTTCACCCCAAAGGTCTGCTATTCGCAGGCTCCAAGAACTCTCTGAAGCACGAATCGAACCACAGCTTCAACAGCGCAACCCTAATCCAAACGGAAATGAGCATGCACATGCACCCAGTACTGGTCTGCAGCGGAATCCCTGCTGCTTTATTATTTAAAGCAGGCAGCAGGGACAAACTTCTGACAGGCCCCAAAACCTTAAATCTAAAGCACTGTTTAATCTGATCAGTGACTTGTGTGTGTTGGATTGAGGGCAAGGGCAAAACCTGAGTTACAGCCTGAGCTGGCACTGCAGTAGAGATAAAGCCTTCGTCCATTATTTATGAGTACCAGGAATAGTTACGGAAAAGCGTGTTTTACATGGGGGTTACCTCTCTTACAAGACTAACGGGAGCCTTTGGGAACAGTTCACATTGGGCTAACGGAGTACATGAGGGAGTTGTACTGAACCAGAAATTATCATCTCTGGTGAAGCAATGGCTACATCCTTGAAGACCAGGCTGTTAGTAAAAAAATGTACAAATAATTCAAAAGATAAGTTCTTCTGGAGGAGAGGAGTAATTTTCAAAATAACAGAAGCCATCACAGAGCTGATCAGTATAAGCTACTTTTGAAATTCCCTTTTCATGGAGCCTCTTGAACACACTTCTTGTGGGATAGGAAATGCACACTCTCAGATGCAGTTTGGTTTGCAAATCAGCCGTAAGTGATCTAGTGAATAATCCTAGTCCTTTCTGGTGGAGAATTACTGAATTTATGCTGGAAGGAATAAAGGAGGCACTGATGCAACCAGTTCCACCTGAGGAACAGTTTAGGAATCTTCTTTTCACTGCTCATTTCTTGGTCACTGTCTCCAGAGAAGACTGTAAGCACTTCTCGTCCCCAGGATCATCTCTTACTTACACTCACTTTTTGACTTTGCACTGAAAAGTGTAACGAATCTTCAAGTGCTCAGTGAAAACAGATAGTAGATTTCATTTCAAACGAAAGCAGTCACTGACTATAACCGCTTGCAGAAACATGTAAAATGTGGAGGCACACCAGGCACATTGGCAGGTGGAACATGCATGGGGCCAGACCGAACCTGCCCCGAGCACGCAGCTAACCCACAGATCACACGGGGTTCCTGAAGAAGTGCCACATCAGAGCAGGGCTACTGGTCCAGGACAGAGAGGTGCCAGTGCAAGCTGGGAACAGGGCACTCGGCAGCCCTGGAGCTGGTGTTAACAGCAAGAAGCGGCCAGTGGTGCTACTTCACCCAGGAGACCAGGAAGCCGAGAAGGATATACACCTTTTTGTAATCATACATAGTAGAGGAAACTAAGGAGATACTTTAAATTAGCATTTGCAAGAGGCTACTTGCATTTTTTGAGCTCACTCAATCCAACCTCTGATCTGCAATTTTCAGAGACTGAGAACTGTTTTTTCTCATCTTTCCATTTCTGTTAGTAGTGAAAAATTATGAAAGAACCATCTCAAAATGTTATGGTGTTCATAAAGTGCCCAGGCCTTTGCTTAGTTCTGCTAACTCATTGTTTTGGAGTGAGATAAAATCAGGGGAAGGATGGATGAGCTAGATAGACTTTGCCCTTTGCAGAGTTAATAATGAAATCAAAAAGCCAAGACTCAAAGCCTTAGGCTACCTGCTTACAGTCCACTCCCAACCCTTCTAAAACCCCACAAACCCAGAAGCAGCACTTAAATGGCTTATTATTACATACAAATAAACACCGAATTGTTGCATAAATGACAATCTGCTCAGGTACAGATGGTTTTAACAGTTATTTTTATACTCTCTGTTATTAAGTTAAAAAAATGAATACTGAGCACCCAGTCAGATCATTGAATCAGTACATGGTACAGCAGATCCCACTGAGGCAGAAGAAAAAAGACACTTTCCTGCCAGACAAATGCATAGCTGGACATCTACTTTTTTCTTTTTTTCCTTTTTTTAAAGAACTAATTAGACTTGTAGAATAGATGAGAAATACTAACACATTTAAAGGTTAGACTGAACACCAGACAAGGTCAACTGTTTCGCAAGCAAATCTGGACTCCACAGTTTAAAATTTTTAAGCAAGTTTACTATAAGGGGAGCAGAAATACCTTATTCCATGCCCCATATAATGCCAAACAAATTCTTGGCAGATACTATTTTGTATTTTTAGGTTTTCTAAGTAGATATAAAACTGTGAAGGCTTCATTTTAACAAAGACATTTTGAATAATTTCTGGCACATTTCCTTTTCAAAGATGTCTTGAAAAGCTGATTAATTTTCCTCAAAACAATAAAACTTTTAATAAAAAATAAGTTATATAGAGAAAATGGATTGAATTAATCTAAGAATGCAAAAGGTAGAATGGGATGAAAAGCTGGCAAATGTTTAAATATCCAGAGTACACTGGGAAACAAAGTACCCAACAGAATCTATTAATCTCCATGACAATTTTTATATAATAATTATATATCTTTGGATATGATAATAATCCATTTTTCATATATTTCATTAAGACATGAAATATGCTACCTAATTCTTACATAAGATGTCCCTTCTCCCTACAGATCTTGTCTCTCTTCAGTCATCACAGCTAAAATAAAGCTTCTAGCTCTTTCTCTCAAAGCAGTTAAGGAAAATCAGTCCCATTTTTCCTGTTTTACAGCCAGGAAAACAAGACTTGCAGCAGTGCAGTGATTCACCCAGAAAAATCTCTTCTGACTTCCTTTCCAAAAGCAAGGCATTTCAAATAAGAGTGCTCTCAAAGTATGTGAGCACATTTTTCATTGCAAAGACTGAATTCAACTAATTAGGTCAAACTATTACGCTTAAAGATTATGTCCAACCCACTTGTTTAATACTTTCATTAATCTCTGGAGTAAGAACAAGAAAGAACAGTTATTCTTTACATACAATTCCAGAAAACACTGTGTGGGCTTGTGCATCGTGATCTCGAACAAGTCCTCTAGTGTTGGAAGAATTCAGGGCAAATACCAAGAAAAATACATGTACTCACTCTGTAGCAGCCAACAAAATGCAGCTGTGTACTGTTAAATACAATCAGTGAAACAAAAGTGGCATGCTCGTAACAGGGGTAACTGTGTGGCTTAGTGAAAAAGAGTCCACTCTTATGCAGGAACATTTAATACTTTCTTCTCAGGCTCTCATGTGCACTTAAACTGGAGGATCCCAAAGTCCCTTCATCTGATCTCCTCTACACCAGCATTTTGAAGCCATTATGTCAGACAGGTCTGCAAATAGCTTCAAATCAGTTTGGACATGCTCATGTATGGCAACAGCCCAAGCTGATGAAAACTGTATTCAAGCATAGTTTTACAGGTAATTTATTCAAAGGTGAGTGTCTCGCCCATCTGTGGTTTGCATAGCCTTGGTACATGGGCACAATCAGAATGGTAGCGTCTTCCCACTGCTTTGAGAAAGTATCACTATGTATGATGCAAAGTATTAGAAAATGAAGTAAATTGTTCTGCTAATTTGCATAAGAGCCTGGAACTTGAAATATGGAGTGAGAAAATTACCATTTAAATAAAAAACTTTCAGGAAACAACGATGAATAACAGTAGGCATCCAAAGGCTGAAAAGGGTATCAGCAGAAAAGGGCAAGACTGGTTGCTCATTGACTTGATTACTTTCCATACATTACTCTCACTAGAGAGTAGTTAGAACATATATTTATAGAAGATAAAGTATCTGGTTTGAGGGGAGGAAAGGGGAAGGGGAGAGGACAGGGCAAGAAGGATAAAAAGGAGAGGCTCCCTTTTTAAAAGGGATTTTAAAACTCCTTTCTGGGCCCATGTTCTGCTGCTCAAATCTCCTGAGGTTTTGGCTCCTTTTACCCCTTCCATCTTCCTGTACTTAAAAAGAAAAATGTTCTTTATTGTCACCACTCAGCCCATTACTGTGGGCTTAGATAAACCCAACTGTTTCATTTCTTTATTTGCATCAGAATTCAGGAAAGCTCAGAAATAAATCACATCAAAAGCGCAGCCTAAAATACAGAAGAAATGTTTCTCAGTACTTTGGTATGTTAAGTTATACAAATTCAACGACCACAACGAACACCACTGATTCAAGCCCCAGTTAGTACCAGTGGATGCTATACAAACTCTGTTTGGTAAAACACCAGCTTGAAATATGCCTGCTTCCCCAATACAGCATCTTTCTAAACACATGGCCAAACATATGACACTGCTGTACATTGACGAGTTGCTGTGTAATGGTATAGGATGAGCTCCACATGTCTCTTTTCACTGAAATTTAGCATTTGCCGTTTGGTTTTCCTGATCACTTTTGACTGGAATCTTACCAAAAAAACCCCAACAAACCAAATCAAAACACCGTGCAGCAATCTGCTAGTAATGAATTAATTTGCACTTTGTCTTCCTGGTCAAAAAATGGAAACTAAGTGATGAGGCAGAATAACTTCTGTGCTGAAAACTTAAATTATACATTATCCCCACCAATGCAATAGTCACCTGAAAGCTGATGCTAAAACAACTCTGAGGAACAGTTCCACTTCTTTTAAGCAGAACTTTTTGAGTCATTCAAAAGTACTGAGTATACTAACAGCTAGAAATCAACGCTAGTTTTCAAGAGAAAAAACAACCACTGAGCAATGAGATAACCAGAAATCTAATTCCAGTAAGATATTTCAGGAATATTTTCTCATCTATAACTTACCTCTTTGAATTTGTGAGCAAGCTTGCTGGTGTCCACATCACTGGGAGAGAACATGTCATCATTTTCAGGGAGATCGAACACTTCAATAGCCATGTCACCTCCTGGAAGGACAGGTCCCATGTCTTCATCTTCTTCATCTGTAGCATATTCCCCTGTCTTAATTTTATAGCATTTAAGAAATTCCAGTTATCCTCTTATTAGGCAGAGACTGTTCAAAGAGTAACTAAGCTACTGTGCAAACACAGCATACTGCATACAAAAAAGGTTATCTTTTTCTTTAGCTGTAATCCCAGTACTTGCGAATTCTACCAGACAAAATGCAACGCCACAGTAGTATTTCAGAACATTGAGAGAGAGGAAAAAGCAGTGTGTTAAGCATTACTGGCTCTATATTTCAATGGTTTTCATTCTTTTCCAACTGATGCCTCTTTCCCATAGGAAGACCTCTCCAAATTTATCTCAGATTTAACAAGGAATCTTTTCCAAACAGAAATAAGAGCAGAATAGGACTGACAGGATCTTGATTAGCCTTTTGTAAGACATCTGGAGGAGGTAATTCTCCAGTGATATTCCATGTTGAATTTGAAAATCCATTGATTTGTTCTTTATAAACAAATAGAAAAGTCACGCCCACACAGAAAGACAACAGTAGGAAAAAGAAACTGAGTGTCAGAGGCAAGTTCAGAGACTGAAGTCAGGGTTTACTAAATTTCCACCCTGAATAAGGAGCTGCTTCTAGCTAGTTTTAAACAGAAAACGCGGGTGTTTCTTGGGCTGGTAAACCATGAGATGTGAACAATTTGGTGACAAAACAGAATTTTAAAAAATCAGAAGCTACAATCAGTATCTCAAGGTTAAACAAAATAAAACAATAATACTGAAAAGAAAAAGCTTGCAATATTAAACCCCAAGTTGCCTAGGCAATACACCTGTGCTCATCTCTCCCCATGCCTAAGGTGGCTGGGTACCACTTTGCTTTAGCTGGGCTCCCTCTGGAAGCCGGAGTACATCGTGTACGGATCACGAAGAGCCTGCTGGCTATGCAAATGACTATGCAAACACAGTACAGCGCAAACACTTCTCTCGGGGCCACATCTGGATTTGTAAAGCTTGGGACTCAATAAATACATGGAAAAAGGAAGGGTGGGGGAAGAGGTGCAGTCCTTCTCATGTTTACATAGTAGTAACACCAAAATTTTGACACAATGTTTTTGTTCATGAGCTTTCAGTTCCTGAGATGAAGGTGCATAATATTATTATCAGAAGTATATTCCCAGTAGTGCTATGATTATCTATTAGTGTCACTGTTTGTCAAAAGAACTTTCCAAAACAACAGGTAAGAGCTCAGATGTCCAAACAACAGTTCGAATCTCAACTTCCTACCTTAACTTAGTTTCTCAGCTGTTGTTGAGGCTTATGTAAATCTCAATTAAAAAGCATGGAAGCACGTTAAGTCTAGGTGCACAAGTACACACAGACAGAAAAGATGTATGTATGCGTCCAACAACAGGGTGATACACTTGTAATAAAACATCACCATTTCTTGGATAAATAGCACATAGGATCATAGAATCAGAGAATGGTTTGAGTTGGAAGGGACCTTTAAAGATCATGAGAAATATATATTCTCCTTCTTTAAAACCACTAAAGTTTTAAAAAACAAACAATGCCAAAACACACTGAAAGCACAGAATGATTTGGTAAAATCTTGTGATGTTAAAAGAACTATCAAAAAAAAGGTGAGTCACCGACATGCACCACCCATCCATACTTTAAACGTCACTATTAATGCGAGCCACTTCTTAGGAGAGGTATCTCTGTCTCTATAAATAGCTACATATTCTCCAACGAAATAAACAGTAACCATTTATTTTACATAGTTTATATGTACTAAGAATCTCAGTAGTCTTCAACAAAAAAAGTTAACAGCTGGTTTTGCTTCTTTTTTCCTTATTTAAAACAGAAGCAAGGAACACACAATCCATCTCACCGGAGTTTTCAGGCATGTTAACATTACAGCTAAACAAAACAAAACCTGAAATTAAACTTCTCATTCTGTAGGTCCAGATCTCACACGCATACACAAAATCTTCTGTTACACTACACTTGTAGTAACTTCTGCTTCTATTTTATTCCCCACAGCTACATGCAGTTACTGTCTAAACAGAAAATTAGGCTGCTAACTCTCCTGGCTTTTTCCAGGAGCATGTAACACCACCTTCACACACCATCAGGGCAGCGAGAAGCAGAACAAACAACTCTAAAATCCCAGCAAGATTTCAATGAAATGAATTATTGTGGGGACAAAATACTAACACCATCCATGTACTGTCAATTTTGCAGTCATTATCCCTGAAAAATCTATAAGGTGATACACAACTATAATTTCTACATGAAAAAAACATCTTGTCAGGTCCATCAGCAGTGGCAAGGAAATCTTTGAAGCATGAAAAGAAGAAGCAGAAATAGGATTGTTAACTAGCAAACTCATGCCCGGTTTATGTAAAAAAACAGATCTGGCTCAGCTACATGTGCATTTTAAAGGAATATATTAATTTAATGCAAAATCCTAAATGTATTTACCAATTTTGGTGAATGAATAAAACAGATGAGTTTAGTTAAAACTGATTCCTCCAAAGACAACTAAAAAGAAGTACTTCATACAAAAAGAAAAACGAACACATATGAAGGACTAAGTTATACTGGGGAAAAATTCAGGAACAGGCAATATTCTACTGGCCTCAGGAGCCAGAGTGTTTGAAGAGGGACATCAGGCAGCTTAAAATGAACACAAAGGAAAATCTTGCTTCAAATTGTACATAATGGGTGTCGATGGGCACAGTGATTTTTGTTTCAATTAATACAAAAAGTAGTCATCAAAGCAAAGCACTGCAGTTGGCTCAGGTAAACAAGACAGCAGGATGACACAAACACATTACAGAACACAGAAATAAATCACTTTTTTTTCGCCTTCAAAAGAATGGGATCCGATCTCATAATCACATGAAACACAAATTACAGGTTCAAAAGAACCAATGTGTGCTTTAAGGAAATACATGTCATAAACTACAGGAAACATACTTTCTCCAAAAATATTATCTCTGCTGACTTTCGTTTCACCTGAAACTAGTAGAAGGTTGTTCAGACCCTGTGCCACTAAGCTAGAATAGGAAATTCAGGGTTTTACAAGCAGCAGCAAGGCACAGACAAAAGTTATTTTACTTCAAAATATCAAAGCCTTGTAAGGTAACAGTTGTTATCATAAGTGCCTGAGGTTCCTTGCAATACATTTTGTTTTCTTAGCTGACAACAGCAGTAATATTTTTTACTCAATAGTCAATGAAAACTTACATGGTCTTGAAGGAAAATCTCGGGACTCTTCAGTCTGTATTGGTGAGCAAAATTCATCCATGCAAAAAACGCTATTTCTCACTTCAGCAGCATGCAGGGCTTAAGCTTATCCCATCCACAGCAATAGCTTCTGATATTAGCCGTTCAATTTTGCTACATGCTATCACAGCTAACAGCATGACATTATCTTTATAAACATGAACTGCAGTTTCCCACTTTAAAAGGGAAAATATGTTACTCACATTGTTTAACTGCCTTGTAAATTCTTGAAATGGGCCTAACACTCCCAAGCAGAAAGAAGGAGCAGCAGCACCAGCCAGGATAATGCAGACAGACCTTCCCCAAATCACCATAACAAAGGCTGCATCAAGCTAAATCTTTTGTTTGTGCTGAAACTCTCCCACAATCAGGGAACACGGTTTGAAGAACTATAAAAATAACCCAAGCCCACCTCTTCATTTGATTTTTTTCATGGTTTATACTTAATCCTTTCAAAAGAGCAAAGAAAAATACAATGGTATACTATCAATCATCGCTTTTACAGGAGTGCTTCATATTAATGATGTTGGAAAAACCGTACTCTCTGAAAGATCTTGTTTAACAAATGTATTCTGTGGGTGTTAAGACATTCAAGCACATTGCAACGTTTTTCTTTTCGTGTGTGTCAAGATGTTCTTCAATGGTTCTAATGTAGCTTTCCTCTCAGAATGTCTTGATAAACGAGAATTAAACATGAAAAAATACTCAAATGACTATTAGTGATATTAAAATACATTAAAATGTCACTTGCATAAAACTACTTGTCCGTGGCCACAGAGTGAATAGAATTTTGCAATACGTTATTAATTTCACATCCTGTATCACCATATGCAGCCTTCAGGGGAACAGGTCATCTGCTTTATGTGACTTTTTGCCATTCACTGTAGAACATGAAGAAGATAATACCATGTTCAAATCAAAATTCCAATAAATGGCAGAATTTGACTAAAATGTGCACAGAACACTGTGTTAACACAGGGAAGTCAAAAGGTTTCAGTCCAGGATACAGATTCAGGTCATACTTAACACACTAAGTAGGAAATACCAAGCGCCTACTTCAAAGCCCTTCAATTTTGTTTTCTGACAGGATACAACAAATTAAAAGGATATAGGATTTTAGGAAGCTAGACAAACTGGTGTTGAGTAAACTCTGCAGCAGGCTATCTAGATGTAGCACCTGAAACACCACACTCTCCCAGATTTACTGGAGTTAGCACAGGCTCATTGGGAAATGCCAACACTACCTATCGTAAGTAGTATTTGAGAAATAATTGATACTACTGGCTCTGCTTGGCTTGTGGGAGCTTAACAACAAATTATGAGCTGTTGCACATTTATCCTGCTTGTCTTTGCATGGACCCCATTGTGGGCATCTCTTTTCTTTTAGTGTTCATCAGTTCTGCACAAGGTTATTTGTGTTTCCATGCAAAGACTTAAATGAAGGAGGATCTGAAAGCATCCTGCAACCCTGCGACGACCTGCAGCCCATGGTAACAGCAGATTCTGAAGTGCAGGGATGCAGGGCATTTATATAGTAAATTATGTATCTTTCCGCATTACTTATATAGTAAATGATGTATCTTTTGGAAACGTGTATTAGTGTGAATCTTACACAACAAATAACCGTCACGTAATATTCCTGCAAGGCAATGGAATGAGAAGTTACAGCAGGCTAACAAATGTCTCTCTAATTTAGCATCTGACTCTAGTCCAGTGCACGCTGGCTGGCAGAAGTCAAAATTGCCTCAATAAAGCCGCTATTTTAAAGAACTCGGATCCTTCCATAATAGCTAGATGCTGCTTGGGCTATGATGAAGACTGTCCTAAGTTTCAAAACAGAGGAAATCCAGCCAGCTGGTGGCACAGCAAGATAAAACACCAGGACTCGCACATGCCTGGCACGCGCTCTCTTCCTGCGATTTGATCAGCTCTACCAAACAGAGTCATGTGCGCTGACTCCAGGACTAACAGATCACTGATACCCTGCTCCGGAAACCTGGTGTTATTGATGTCTTTGTGGCAAAGTCTCTGAGGCTCAGAATCTGACAACCTGAATGGAGGGTTGAATAAAGAATCATTTTCTTGTTTATTTATGCAGCATTGTAGCTGGAGATCCATGTTACCGTATTTTAAGAATTGTATGAAAATGAATACGAGAGTTTGGTAGCTCTGAGACTGAGCAATTCCAGTGTAATTCTGTGTCACCTCAGCACAAAACTCCTTACACTGGCAACCCAATATTCCTGAACTTCATGCAGTCAGAATCACTATCACTTTGAGGAAATGAACTCGAAAGGGTAGGGCTTTTTGTACATTTGTGGATATTCATTCAGACAGTGTAAATTGAGATTTTCTTGACCAAAAGACACCCTGCTTACCAAGCCCAAAGAATGCAGGGCTGGCAGTGGTGTCTGGTATACAGCAACATAAACCCAGCCACATCTGCCCTCACAAAGCAAGGTGAACTCAAAGTAGTAATGCTTGTATTTGACAGCAAACGCAGCAGAAGTGCTTGTGGTGACCAAAAATGTCTTTGAACTGTGTCTAATGTGCATTAGATCACAGCTTCCATTGTGTCAGTTCCCTGGGAATGGTGCAAATTATGTGAGTTTACTTGGATGGCGTAGTCAGGTGACCAAAAAAAATATATATAAAAAATATATATAAAATCGACTTCTGATAAGTCTGTTAATTAATAAAGGGAACACACCTCATTGCATACTTTAGTAACTACACCCCAGTCGTCTATTCTGAGAATAAGGTTTACCACCCTGGTCCCAAATATATATATATGTGGCATCAAGTAGGAAACAGGTATGATCTTCAATGACCCCAAGGTAGTTTTTGAGAACCGAAGTACTGCATTTGCTCTGAAGCCTAATTCCTTCTCCTTCCAAAAGAGATCTTTGATGAAACTCTGGATCTCTCCTGGTAGATGTGTTTTCCTTTCTTCTTCCTCTGTTCCTCGCATACTGCATAGAAGTCCCCTTAGCACAGCAAACGCCAATGATCAAAAAGCACATCATGGTCACAGAGGTGGTCATCATCCTCAATGTAGTGCTAGGATAAGAAAAGATGCCTTTGACTCTGTAAATTACTTGCCCTACCTTATCTTCTCCTATAATCCAAAGGCACTACCAATAGAAAACACTTTGTGCATTTAGTATTTTTTGTGTTAAAAATTTATGCAGTGAACAGGGCTTAAGAGTTTGTAGCCACTGAATTGCAAGGACAACAAGACACATCACAAAAAGACACATCACAAAAAGTGTCTGATACCTACTCACCCCTGTCCTCTTTCACTATGGTGCTGAGAAACGCCTGCATGGTCATCAGTGCAAAAACGTCACCGTCAGCATCAGCACAGCAACAATCCCTACTGAAGGCTGAGGTACTACCGGGATCAGTGTTGATCTATATGGTTTTAATGGTTTCTTTATTGCCAGATCTTGAGTTATGACATCTGTGTGGTGCATGAAGGTTCCTTTGAGATTTTTTGCAGGTGGATGCGTCCTCTAGCTAAAAGGTGTAATGCATCAATTGCTCACAGAGGTCTGCCTTCAGCTGCACACCGCTCTACGTGCGAGTACACAGTGAGAAGGATTTGAACATCAGGCATTTAGGACACACCTCTGGTGCCAATATGAAAGCTATCAGACTATGTTTACTGTAAAATGGTATCACGGGTCTTCAAACCCTGATGTCTACAGCATGCTGTGATAAGTTATGAGAAGTCTCTTGTTCCAAAGGCTAGAGGGAGTTGTCTCTTTTTTGTTTTTGAGAAAATGGTAGACTTCCTTCAAGAAATTAGTCAAGGTCTTGAATTTTAATTCTAGATTAAACAGAAGTTAGAAGACTTGCATGTTTGTATAGTTTGAGGAGGCAACAGGGAGGATATGGATTTTCTAGCCTTCATGATCGCACACAGGCACACATACATATGCATCCCCAATACAGACGAGTACAACTTTTATTTATACGAGTTAAATACGCACCTATGACAGGATTCATTCTAAAACACATTAAATTATTTTTATTTTTAATATGAGTGGAAATTAAAGTAAGTGAAAGCATCACTGGGGCTAGATAGGATTTTTACTTAGTTTTCTGGGACACTTCTGATTGTTCTGACCTATTGTGAGTTTAACAGTGTGTTTCAAAATCCGAGTGTATCCTGATTTTATCTCAGAGGGTTTTTTTTTTTCTCTATTTCACTGTTTAGAAGCCTTGTCTCAGTACCTAAAGGAAAACTAAACTGAAATAAATGCATAGCACGAATTCTCTATCTCCCCTTCTCTATCACCTTCTTCCACAAATAAAATAAAAAATATGGCCCAGGACAAAACACACTAATACATGGAGCCTGGCATTTCAAATAATATTCTTCAAGATAATGCAAAATGAAGGTGGTATGCTTGGGCTATGTGGAAGCCATTTGTTACAACAACTGCCTTTTACCTTAACCCAGCAGCTAATTTAGGGAGTAACACAGACAGCAGTCTCTGAAAAAGCTCTCCCATTAATCTTTCCAAGTATCTCGGTATTTAGGCATATCAGGAATTTTAAGAGAATGGAAAGAAATAATGGAAAATTTAATGTATAAAGTTGATAGTTTCAAAACCTTTGCATTGGGACATCAGGCACTAATTGTGAACATCAATACACGGTTCAGACAAGGTAGATTAATTCTCTATCCTCTGGAATATCTGTTCATACAGAAACAAAAAGCAGCGTGTGGAAGGAGGGGTCTGTCTTACTTGGAATTTTCAGAAAATTTCTTAATGTTCTGAATTAAGAAGAACATCAGTTCTTCCAGGAAAAAAAAAAAAAAGGTCTAGAACTTCCTCAACCCCCTCCAAGTTAGAAGGCGACTTTTACCAGTTTTCACAAAAAAATAATGTTTCAGTGCACAAGCAAACCAACTTTATTTCCCATATTTCAGAAAAGCATATGCCTTCAGAGGAAGAGCAGTAATTACAGAAGCGTTGACCAATTTGATATTTACTCTTCTGGAACAAAACAAATATTTTAAATCCATGCTGAAAAGCTTTTCAGTAACTTTGTCCTTCAAGTAAGATTCATCATCAAAATCTGTAAAAATCAGCAGCAGAGGTAATGGAGAGGGCCAGAAGCTGACCTCTGAGTGACAATTAAAAAGAAGGAATTAGGAACAGAAAACAGAACATTAAAAAACACCGAACAGTGGAACACTAGACAGTCTGTTACCTCATCATCATCTGCATCATACTGTGCATAATGCTGTTCCAGCAGCTCTCTTTGGCGGCGTTCTTGTTCTAGAGTTTGGCTAATCAGCTGCGCAACCTCACTCACTTGTCCCGGTTTTTCTCGTCCAATTACAAACCTATACAAAACATTAGTGAAAAAATATTACTCCTACTGTTTTACCAAAATTCTAGATTTTTAGCCGTGTTTTGTATAGAGGGTAGCCTTCTTCTCCGAAGATACATGGCTGTGACTGTTTTAAATGTGTTCTGTGGATGACATTTTCCAGAGGGCACTGTATGCAAGACTAGGAGTGATCAGACCATGACAGTATTTACAGGAGGGGGAAAAAAGAAGTGACCATTAAAGCCTTCACTCCAAATTTCGGTAAAACAGATTGTCTGAGTCTGAACTTTATGGACACAGACCTAAAGTGGGGCAATTGTTAAAAAATGTATCAGCACTTTCATTCCCTTTCGAGCACCGTATTTCCCAGAAGCCTACAGAAGACCAGATGCCCAGTAACAGCACAGACACACTGCTGGCAGCTCGTGGTGAAAGGAAAATGCACCGGAGTAACTTCTTTCTCCGTCTTGACTTGGAAGATATTTCTGAGCTTTAATATTTGCCTTCCTCCTGTCTATAACAGGGAATCTATTTCCACATTTTTAAATCTGACAGACACTTCCCCTAATTTTAAGCCACATTTAACCCTTTTATTTCATGAACTTCTGTTGCTAAGGAGCATTTTTCTCCACTGTTAGCTATTGCTGAACACTAGGAGCACATTCCTTAGGCTTAACAGAAGACAAGGGAAGTGCCTCTTTCTTGGTTGAGACTTAAAAGACTGCTTACCAATCTTGCTTTCAGCAAGTGAAATTCAGAATTGGCTTGGATTCTAACACTTTTTTTACTTTTTTTCAGCACAGTGGCGTAACTGGAATTAGATATTTTGCTCTCTATAGTATTAATGATAAACACCCATTATACAGTACCAACACACCGTGAACTACTGAACAAAAGCACAATTTAAAGATGTCAAGCTGAAGGTATATTTTCTTAGCAGGCTAGAAAGACAATTAGGTAATTACAGTATTATGCAGAGCTGAAAAGCATGATCAGGTGACCCTGAAATACTGCATATGGTAAATTATTTGTTTCCACAACATTTGGCTCAAATGATGAATTTAATTTATTATTGGAATGAGAGGTAGAAATGTGCATTATATCCCATGTAAGAAAATTATTTTCATTAGTACTGCCTATCACTGTGCAAGTCATTTGGTATTTGGCATCCATGTGTGAGCCATCTTCCCATGAGTGGATGACCCTGAGTCCATTTTCTATGCCAAACAATTTGTCAGACTCTGTGAAGTCAGGCGCTACAGAAAATAATACAATTTGGAGATTATTTCAACACCATCAAAATATCCAAGTCAGTAATTACTTCCAAAAGGATAAGAAAGGTGAGACTGAGTGATTCCATTTGAAATAATGACACAAGGCCCTCTGAAAATAATTTGAAATGAAGTGTCTTAGTTTAAAAACATTTATAGAAAATACAGCAGAAACTAGAAAAAAATCAAGGAAATAACATCAGCTTTTTAATCCTGGTCAAAACAGATCACAGTCTGGCCCTCATATCCTACTATTACGAAATATGACATTGATTCTCAGTAATGATAAAGACCTTGGGCTGAAAGAAAAGGAATGTTTCTTCATGGCCCCTATACTTCATCTGTTCTGCATACTGACTCATAGTCAGATTCTGTTTCCTCTGAATTTTAATTTTAGAGCCAAGTATTACAAAGACTAAACCAGCCATGTTTTCAGTCTCAGTTGGGAGGAACAACGAACTTTTGATATTACTACATGAAGTAAAAAAGGATTCAACCCATATTTGCTACACATATGTCTCCTCTAATGTAAAAACAAATTAAAAGAAAATATGGAAAAAAAAAACCCCTTCTATTTTAAACAAACATTTTAAGCAACATTATGCATGACTGTATTATTTATACATAGTAGTGAGAGCATCATGTTTGTAAACACAAGGGAGATCACCAATGTGGTAAATTATGGATCCACACAAAGTGATGCAAATATTGTATTCCCTCCTGCCCTCTGCCTGATAATTCACCTCCCTTGGAAAATAAGAGACTCAAAATTCTTCATATAATCATTTTTGTACACTGAAAACCTAGAACAAACAATATGTAATGCATCTGAAGTCTGGTAACTCCTGATTATTTAGGAGTGGTTTTGACACATTAGACTGTAATGCAATAATATTTTCATTGAGACAAACAAGTTTAGGTAGGATGTAAAAATGTAAAAGCTTATTAATTGAATTTTTCTTCTCATGCCAAAGCCACTCACAGTTTATAGTGATGTGATTTTCAAGGCTTAATCACATGTCAGAATGAAGTTCCTCAATGATACCTGAAGCTGTTAGATGATACATGAATAAAAGCCTCAAAGCAATGACAAAGTTTAAAGCAAATATTTTCCAAAACAGAAATATGCAAGGAACATTTTATTTTCCTACAATTTACTGCCTTAAAGTGAGACATTTCCAAAGTGTCTGAAAATAAATATTTAGAAGCATTCAATCTACGATTGATGTCGGTTCTAGATAAAGAATTGTAAATTTGTCAAATGGAATACTACATCGCCAACAATTAACAGTTTTGACAAAATAAACTAAACCGTTTGTCATGTTACATTCCATGACCTTAAGAATACCATGCTGCATATAATTATGTTTAAGTTGTAACTAAAATAAGCCATAAACTATAAATTTATAATTTAAAGAGATGAATATTTCTCTTAGAAAATGCTAAAGCAGAGGCAGTTATTAAAATGCTAAGCATGAATTAGATCTTTATGCCTAGAATGGTTTTAAATACAAGAACTATCATAATCTGAAGTGTTTAAATACGAAAAAGAGACATAAGGTTGTGATTCACTGACCAAAAAATTAGTCACTGAACCATAATATGCACACTTCAACGAAGTGGCTAATTATGTATTTCTCATCACTCTGGCTCACCAAAATTAAGCACATGCATTTCAGACTTGATTAATTAGTCTCAAGGGCCAAAAGTATTATAACAAAGAACAATAAATTCTATCAGTAATAACATATTTAAGGAACTGGTTATGTTTCTGGATATGAGACAAATGAGGGTTTTAAAGCCTTTAAACCTCATGGCGATAATATTCCCCTTAATTATTAAAGCTAGCAACTGCAAAATAAAACCCAGTGAATCTGTGATGCTGCACTACAAGCCATCACTGTGCTAAATCTCAGACCACTACTGATTATTTCTGATGCCCACGAAAAAGAGAGAGGAGAGAACATCACACAGAAGCAGGGCATGAACTGACCTTGATATTCAGAGCTACACACAATCTAGCTGAATTACCAGCTGTGAAATATTCTCTTCAGTTGTGGTTAAAACAAACAGGGACAGAGCTGGGAATATAAATAATATTTGACTCTATCTTGGATTTAAGAAGATCTAAAAATACACAGTACCTGGAGAAATTGAAAAATTAAACTACAGTAATGGCGGTTAAAAAAAGCATTCTACTGAAAGTGGCAGCAACTCTTACATCTCCTGCAATCCAGTCATGATTTGATGATTTCAAAGCACACCTGATTTATGGCTTTCTGCATAATTCCAGCTTTTATTAAATGAGGATCTGCAGACCTGTGCTTCTTGAAATAACAAAAAACAATTTATTGATATTTTTTTACCAACCATGGGAACCAGAAACATTATTATAAGAATTAATTAAAAAATATTGCCATTTTGAAAAGAACTTTGGTACTAGAAAAATGTACGAAGGCACCAACTCTGTGAAACAAACCTGAAGTTCTGCAGCATGGATTTTTAGTGACATGAGTTGATGATTTCTCCTAAAAATACTTCAGGCATTAAGTGCTCAGTTAAAAATAATTTAGCATAGATTCCTTAAATTCAGCAAAAATCAAGTAAGAATACAGCAGACTCATTCTAAGAAATAAAGAATTTTTTTTTCTCCAACAGGATTCACAATTTTTTCTTCTACTCTTTCCTAAAATACAGTTTAGTCAATAAAAATGTACAATAAATATCATTGCATTTGGAGGAGTTTTACAGTTGGATTTTAAAAATGGTTTTCCTCTGAGCTTTAAAGCACAAACCTGCTTCTGCTACCATTTATCTAATTTACTTCAAGATGTCTTCAATTACCTACTCTGGCTGCTTCCATTAGGATAATAGCCATATAATTAATCCGAAGTGCTAAAAGTGGTGTGAACCTTGTAAGAAGGCAGTTTTATTTAGTCACAGCAGTGCAAGCTGGAACTTGTCAGGTTTTCATGAACAAGATCAAGCTCTCTTAAAAGACGGCAGCCTCAAAAGTAGAGGTCGCTGACTGGACATACAGAATTCACAACCTGTGAGCTTCCATTACACTTTTTCAGTTAAAATGATCTGAAACTTAAGAGTCATAAAGACTCTTTGAATCACTGAATAATTTAGGTTGGAAGGGAGCTCTGGTCCACCCCATGCCCCCATCTTCAAAACAGGGCCAACTTTGTCATGGCCTTGATCAGTTTTGAATCTCTCTAATGATGGGATGCAACCTGTTCCAATGTTTGGAAAACCTCATAGTATGGGTGTTTTTTTGAAGAAAATATCTAGTCAGAATTTCCCTTGCTTCAACTTCTGTTCATTGCCTGTTATCTTGTCCCTGTGCAGAGAGCATAAAGAATCTGGGTTCACCCTTTCTACCTGCTGGAAGGTAGCTGAGACAGCAGTAAGATGCCTGCAACCGCATTCTTTTCTTTGGACTGAAGATGTTCCTTCCACCTCTTCCCAGGGTGTCTCCTGCACAGCTGCTCTCTAGCTCGCAGTGTCGCACAGGGCTATGCTGCTCCAGATGCAGGACTCACATTTGCCCTTGCTTCATAAAGCTTCTGCCAGCTCATTTCTCCAGCCTGTTGAGGTCCCTCTGAACAGCAGCCCTGCCTGTTTGCCTATCTAACCTCTAATGGTTAATTGCTAATGGTGCCTTCTGTCTTACTGTCTGTAAATCCACACAGCCCTCCCTTGCACCAGAGACAAACGTGTGCGTAGCAAGCTTTAA